CGGAACTCAAGCTATCGATCAAAACATACATCAAATAGTACAAAATAATCGAAATCGATATTTTCGGTTTGGTCATGTAAATAAAGAAAGTTATCATCAGTGGAATCTCTTTAACAGTTACAACAATATTATGCACTCTTTGTAATAAATGCAATCTTCTATAACTGCACTATATATTCTAATATACTGAATAAGTAGACAAAATTGTACTTCTTACGTAGATTTATTAAATTCTACATATTAACATGATATATTACGTGTATTGCTTGAAAAGATACAAACTAACATTATTTCTGAGCATATACCCAATCCCAAAATTCTACGTGATAAGAATGAACAAAAACAAGTTTTTCACTAGCACAAACAATTATCACTATAACGAACGCTCCTTGAATATATTAATATGTGATAACCATTTATTTCTTATATATTGGTACGCATGTAACACAAGTCATGCCATTGTGGGAAAAGAAACGGAAGAAATGATTTGTTCATAAACAGGACGATCCTATATAAAATGCGTTTGTTATAATACCTTAACAATCGATTTGTATTCAAATGCTACAGAAACAAGTAAGTAATATAGTATTGCAAGCAATACAAAAGTCCGCTACCGGTTAGAACACCAGCAAAACTCTGAAGGGCCATGACCATTTACTTTTTATTATGCCATTGTTGATGAAATGGATGAACAGTTTTCAAATATATATACTATTTATAGTAACAAAGAAGAAAACACTGAAAATATATAATAAAATAATACTGGGAACCGAGGCGTTTGACTTATAAATCTAATTACATATGGTGTATGTGTTAAAATGAACACATACTTGAAAATTGAAGTAAATCCAGGAAAAAATAAGAGTTATAGAAGAAAGGGGAAAATTCCAAGTTAACGGGGGAGATAATGCTAGAAATATGGATGTTAAATTTATATACCTTGTTATATTATAATGATGTTGGGGTTTGAAGTTTGAAAGAAATGAAAATAAAAGTTAATTCCTAAAATAAAAAAAATGTCAGTTCAAGGGGACATATTTCTGGAAATAGTCAAGTATTGATTCTTCGCATGCATGATTTGAGTCATAATAAGAATCATAAACTTGAAGTACATTCCTTAAGAAATAAAGAAGCTATAGGAGATTCGGAGAAGGGGGCAGGTGAAATAAAACTAAGGGAATATGGGAAGATACTTACCGTAGACATGAAAACAACAAGAGACAAAAACAAATGTGTCACCAAAACAGTATGAAACAACAAAGACATACCTCTGAGAAACACAGAGGGGCGCGCCTTGGAACGGTCAGCAGCATAAGTACTGCTGAGGAGTTTTAACCAGTAAATGGTGCACCAAACCTCAATCTAAGCCCCACCATTTTCCTATAAACGAGACAGTGTAAATAAAATGAATCCCCGCCAAGTGACATTCTAACAGTTGTTATGGTGACAACCCTACCACATATGATGTTGGTGATGATAATATATATATGTTATACAAAAACATCATGAAAAGTTCAAGGGAGTAATATTATGATGTTTGTGCTACAGTTGTGAACCTTGACGAGCATAATCTCCATACTGCAATTTTTTTCATATTTCAAGTTTCATAAAAAAATATTTTCAGTCTTTTTTGAGTGATCACAAATATTGCTATATTTGCCATATTTTAAGTCTATTTGTTGTCATAGCAACAAAATTTTCCAGCATAGGAAAAAAGAGATGTACATAATTTCCAGTTTGCAATGGGTAAAATATTCTCAGTACTTTTTGAGTCATCACGGGATCCAGTTTTTTAGAACGGAAAGACAGACGGAGGGAGGGTAATCCAAAAGTCCTCTCCGACTTAACCGGTAGGGGCTTATAAGATGATAATTGTTTTTGAAAGTGTATAAAGCTATAAATCTACTGCTTGTAGTTTAAATATAGCGATAACAAGATACTCGCAATAAAACCCTTTATACGTTAACATTGCAATTTATATAATATGCTTTCTTGTATCTCTATACTGCTACACAACAACATGTTCCATATTCTTCTTATTTCTCAAATTTAAATACAATAACTTCTGTATAAACATTATACCTCGTAAATGTCTTGTTGTTAAATGAACAACAGATGGAACTAATCATTATTAAACCAAGAGGTCACGACCTCATGACATGTCACTTGGTGCAACGCAGAGAAGTTATCTAATATGTATGTGGTTGGATAATATCAACGTGTTCCGTTTCCACCACTTCACTCTTTTCGTGTTTGTATACGATTTCCGAAATAAAACTCGCGTTGTTGTATCTTCGCGCCAAGTTATTACAGGCAACATTATATTTCAAGAAGAGTTTGCACGTAAACGGGAATGTTTTGCTACATTAGATTATATAGAGCAGTTTCGGGGATCATGTCGATTGCAGCAGCATACGTGTTATCATTAAAGTCATCTGTTTCTGTCTCCCATTATAATCATAGCTTTAAATTGGAACAAAGAATCGTTACAAAATTGGGCCACTAAAATGTGGATTCATTTACATTGTCAGACTATAGACTTTGAAGGATATGTCAATACATGTTGTAAATCATAATAAAGAAAACATACTGCGACTCGAACATGTAGCTACTGTAACTCATTTTAACATATGAAAGTTAACTCTCTGGTTTAATATATAACGCAGTGTACAATTAATTATACAATTGTTACAGAAATTAAAAAAGTACTGTGACAAGATGACAAATGATTCAAGGAAATAATAATTTTCCGATTTATGAGTTTTATAAACATAATGTCATTTAGCATCCCGTATAAAGTGTATAATCATAACTGCCTCTTTTCCTTACCGCCAAAATTATATATTATATAAATTTGAAACATAAATTTATATTTCATATATTTCAAAACGTTGTCTGCAGATAATTACCACTACACATTTACATAAAAATAACTGAAAATTTTATGTGAAACGAATAACGACACGATTTCGTTTACGTTCTTTCAGTTTTTTCAGCTTTTCTTTCTTAATGTAAATGGTCTGTCTAAATATGTTGGCCACACAAGCAGTTGATAACCATACAATATATACCAGCTGTGGAACGCATTATTACCTCGCTCAAGTCACTTCGTGTGACCGCATTAATCAAACGTTTAGTACAAAAAAAAATTGTTGGATTATGTGACTGAATAATTATCTTTCGTTTAGTCTTGCTGTCCCATTTTTCTTTTTTTTTCTTTCTTTTTTATTTTGCAAACCAGCATTGAAATCGAGATTAGGGGAGATAATAATTTGCTGACTTTAAAACAAGTGCGTTATTTTCATGATTTTTAATGTCTCGGAGAAATCACTCTTTTTCCAGATTTTTGATACTGATTTTGAATGAAAATAGTTAATTAAGTTAAACACTTTAAGTAAAAACAAAAATATTTCTTGAAACATAATTATGCTGTTTCTTTTAACACACTTGCTGACTCATTATCAAACATTTAAACTTACGGCGTCGTATTTTATGTCCTTGACTATTAAAATAAATTGTTTTTGTATCGTTACAAATCTTTATCTATTATTTACTTGATTGGTCAAAGGTACTACATTTTGTAAAAAATAAATAAATAAAGGAAAACAGCATCAACAACATACTTGCTACTTTTTATTGGAACTAATACATGTACAATGTATACAGTTTTATATTAACGTTCAGGGGCGTCCGTGGCCGAGTGGTTAAGGTCGTTGACTTCAAACAACTTGCCCCTCACCGCTGTGGGTTCGATTCTTTCATGTAAGGAAGCTATCCAGCTAGCTTACATCGTCGGTGGTTCTACTCAGGTGCCTGTTCATGCCTGAAAAAATGCACGGAGGGGCACCTGAGGTCTTCCTCCACCAGTAAAGCTGAATGACCTATACTGTGTCGGTGTGACGTTAAACCCAAATCAAACAAACAAACAAGACTTCTTCTTTATTACTAAAACCTTGTCAATGAGCATTCATGCGTTCATGGTCAGTTAGTCATAGAATTACCTTGAATGATTCAATTAAACCTTCAAGTTTATTTAAAGCACTAAATGTCGAAGGTCGCTTATGTCACGCTGTTAGGATTTTTTAAATGCTGATTGATCCTGTTCATGGACGGTAGTGTTAGATGCAAGGCTACGGCATTCGTAATAATAAGAAAAATAATAATAAGAAAAAAAGATATTTGAAAATTAACACGGAGAAAACCACGTAAAACAGAGTAAATAATCACATGTCATGTTAACAACAATACCACTTGGTGTTATGTTTATATAAACAAACAAAGCCTTATTGCCATGATATTATTTTCGTAGTGTATGGTGATGACTTTTCTTGAACTTTTACATTAGCCCACTTGTAAGACAAGGTTATGTATCTGTTTTCACCATCAAACCTTATTCTATGATAAAATAATCACAAGCAACAATATGTAATATACTTGTTTTTGCTATTAAAAATCATGATTTATGTCTTATTATTGTTTGTCTGATTTTTTTTCATGCAAGAACGTACCGAAAATAATCACTTCAACAATAGTACGGTGGAACACTACGTATATCATGACTTTGTAACATGGAAACCCCGTTGTATAGATTTGAAACAGGTCAGCGACGCAACATGGCATTCAAATATGCAATTGGTTATACGGTGAATAAAGAAAAATTAGATGGCTTTTACCACACCTCGTCATGTTAAATTAATCTAATATTATGCAAAGAGAACTTCGTCTATGTGCACTCATAAATGTCGGTACTTTATAACATGTAACGAATCGGGATAATAAATACATACTGCAATAAATTACTGTTCTTATTCTAATTGGGATTTATTATATAACTTTAATATAAATACTATTAATTTAGATTAAACGAAACCAATAAATTAAAATATATTTGCTTTGTTTAATTTGATTTTAGAAATGAATCCCGATTCTGTAGCCCCATTTACTACATGCTCTGAATATTAATATATTTTCCCTGTAACTTAAGATGTATCATGTATATATTTTCATTGATATATAATATACACTGAAAAACGAATGAAAATTAGTATCTTTTATTTTAATGATTTCGTGTTTGTTTTTGATTTGGTGGGTTTGTGTTTTAGATGATGATTATATTAATAATATATACAGTTGTTGATTTGATGGATTAACGGAATGGTTAAATATCGCGTTTACAATACATTCAATATTCATAATCATAAAATGGATTATCATTACCTTGTAATTAGCGCTTTTGGTGAGATTTAAAGATATATTTTTGTATGTATTCCAGGTATCTCGGAAGAAATAAATGCCGTCGATCGTGCCCGAGACTAACGAACATGAACCTCTTATTTCTGAAAAAGAAACTAACGTGTCCGGTAAAGGGACATTATCTCTACATCCGTAAGTATACTCGTCCGGCTTTTCTTCATAAAAAGGCAACACATAGCTTGATTTGTTAAATCGTTTTTTTTTTTTTTTTTATTGTTTTTTTTTTGCCTTTAACGTTTTGAAAGGTCTAAATGTCCAAATGTGTGTTGTTATACAAATATCAGCATTGCTATTGTTAGATGATATAACTAAAACAGGACCTGCAACATTTTCAATTTTCGACTTGGAACGTCCTTGTTTTTGTTGCTGTTGTTTTTTCGATATGTGGACAGGTGCCTTTTTATTTATTAGATATCTGTGACGAACAATAAGTTTATATTGAATTTAGTACTTTTTTTGTGATGTTCTACCTGCAATTAAGATAACCGTGTAATAGCGAATATTATTTTAATGGTTCAGCAGAAACTGTATATACACTCGTAATTCTGATTTGAGAAATTTGTCGTAAAGCATATAAATATAACGTTTTTATTGTAATGTTGTTTTTTAAACCGTCCGGATAGCTCAAAAGGTAGAGCGTTGGACTGTGAATCGGGCGAAGCGGGAAAATTCCAGGATAGTGCAGGTCACTCGTTGTGATTGATCATGAAATCTTTTCTATGGTCATTTTAACTGTACCTCTGCTCTGGTATGTACAGAAGAGTCAGTTCCTTGAGAAAGTGGAGGCAACAGGTACTGGTAAACTGATTGACAACATGCCTTGAAACGTTGCGGTGGCTGGAACTGTGCTCTGGTAAATAAAATGTGGCTTTCTGCCGTGATCCGGATTGACAACTACCAGCACCACCGCATACACCATGATATTTGTGATTACATCATAATAAAATTACTATATAATTATGATTTAGACCCACTCCATTATTTGTAACATTAAAACACCGTTTCTGGTGTCATTTTAAATTGCATGGTTATTAATAACGTCAACGTTTATAGAACGGTTTTTATTAATGTCATTATTTAATTACGTTTATTAATTTCAGTAAGAAGGCGCCGACAGGTCGCAAATATTCTATCATGACAGCATGCATGGTCTTACAGTTTATAACTGTTGGGTTTGGTTATGGACTGAGCGTCCTCTATGTTGAAGTTATCCGCGTGTTTAACTCACCTAGGTCAGAAGCAGCGCTCATACAGAGTTTATATTTCGGTACAATGACCGGAGGTGGTAAGTTCAAATTGTCAGTAATGGAGATAAGAATTAATCCTTACCACAATCATCATAATTGTTATTATAATAATAAAAGGTATATACATTTTATTCATGACATACTTTGTTACACAACATGTTGAACGATCTGTCAAAATAACGGTATTAAAATGTATTGCAATATTTTCTTCCTTTCTATTTTTCTTTCCTTTTTCTTTTGATTGATTTATTTATTTATTTATTTTGCTGATGTTGCTAATATTTTCTGATTTTGCAGGATATCATAAACGCAATTTATTATAACAATCATTATCTGTGATATTGTAAAGGTTAATTATATCTAATACTGTGGTATAACATAACTCATTTATCATTTATTTGAATGCATTATGTCTCGTGTGTTATTGTAAAGGGGTGTGTTGGGCTTGGCTAATCAATATTGCCGGACCAGGACGTTGTGTGACGGGTGGAGCTATTTTAGGCTGTGTTGGGTTTCTTGTAAGTGGTTTTGCGATCAACGTGCCAATGATTGTTGCCTTTACTGGTGGTATTGCAGGTAAGTTATTGACTTATAGCAACAGACTCCAAATATATTACTGATTTCTTTTTAATTAAAAACAATCTTTGCCTATTAGTAAAATATTTGTCAAGTAACGAATAGCGTGGATGACTTTTAATGTTTAATTCACGGCCGTCTTATTTTAAAAAGTGTGTTTGCAATTGACCTGTTAAAAAGGATATTGTTGGATATGTCCAAAATGTTTGATATATCAGGATAAAAATCAAACGTTAGTTAGCCAACAGTATAGAGCCCTGTCAGACTGCACAGATGCACTGACGACAAACAGCGTCAAACATTGTAACAGGTTAACAAAAGTAAAGTTCTATCATTATGAGGAATTATGAGTCTTTAATATTATACAGTTATATACAATGCATCACTGGCCGTAACGTTAACAATTTTAGGTATTGGTATGAGCCTATGTTACCTAGGTTCGTTTATAACAGTGAGCTGGATCTTCAATGAAAACCCTGGTGTGGCACTAGTGTTCCTTACAACTGGCTCGAGTCTTGGACAAGTTGTAATGCCATATGTCATTGATGTACGTAACTGTGCTTATACTTTTATAATTTTTGTTTTCATGTACATCTTTAATAAAGTACAGTGATACGCATCCGGTAGCACATTATGGTTGTTTTTATTTTCAATATATCATTATTATTTGCTAGAAAGACAAGAACAGTTGATTGTCGTAGTATGATGCTTGTTTGAGCGTAAATTTGGAATGATTTCCAAACAAAAAAATGAGAAAAAGATCAATATACATGCAATCTTATTTTTCTTTCTCACAATTAAAACAAAATCTCCGGCATGTATTAAAATTAGCAGGTCATACCTTCATTATTATGACTATTATATACAGGTGTTTATAACTGAGTTTGATTGGAGTGGCGCCTACATGCTGCTGGCAGGAATAGCGTTAAATTGTGCCGCCTGTGGTATTCTCATACATTGTAGCAGTGGGTTCTTTCACAAAGGCGAAAACCAAGATATGGAAAGTTCTTTTTGTAACAGAATATGTGACAAGACACTACTGACAGACCCCATTCTTTTGATGACTCTGTTAAATGTTCTTCTGTTAGCGACCACAGGTAGTATACAAATTACTATTTCTATAACAAACAGTTATTCCAAGGAACAACTCCTTGTAATAAAATATACAAATTTTGAAATGACAACAGTTTTTGTTTATTCTTCAAATTATTGTAGACAAAAAGGAGAGTGTGCGTTTATTTTCATTTTGTACTAAAGCATAATGAACAAAACACTGTCTTTCGTAAACTAATAATGGATGCACGTAAAAAGAAAATGTACACAATGCTCCAAATGTCAACAATCGGTCCCAAACAAAAATGGTACATCACATAACTTAAATACATAAATGAAAGATGTTTAAAGACCGTAGGTAGTACTGTTTCTTAACCGTAACTATGAATTTACTTCTTTAAGGTCCGATCGAAGCCTGGTTCCTGGTAGACCTTATGGTAATCCGGGGATATGAAAGAGAAATTGGTTCCCTGTTTGTTTCCCTGACAGGATTTGCTAATTTTCTTGGCAGGGGCATAGGGGCTGTTTTGCGACTGTTTTGCAAGTAAGAGATTTAATATACAAAACAATTTATACTTTTTAACTTTACCCGATATATTAATGTTTACAAAATACATTATACGTGCCCATACATAATTATTTACATATATTTTTGAACAGCTTTATATCTTAATTAGTTATTTATTTTATAATCTTTACTCAATTAAGGACTAAAGTATTGGCAAATGTAAAATAGAGAAAATAAGAATCCCTAAAGAGAGCCCGACACGGCAAAATTAAAAATGTTGCAGGCTCGGTTAGATTGAGATTGTTTCATGGACGGTACTGTCAAGTGCAAACTACCATCCACGCCCACTAACACCGGCTTAAGCAGAATTCAACATTTAACATGACCTGGTACAATTTTGAACTTTGAAACATCCGCAGATGTGTTCATATGGTGGTTATCATGGAACCTTCAATGTGACAAGAAAGTGTCATTCCATGAAAAGCGGCATATGGTCCCCAAGTAAAAATAATGCGTGTGCCTCAAACGAGAAAACAATGGGCGGAACTAAATAAAATGGAATTTTGAAAGGGGTAAGAGGTTATGAAGCCTGTATATCACAGATAAGACGTCAAAAGACTAGTTAAAAAAGCAGGCCACATATCATTAGGGTGATTTAACAGTATTTAAGTAAGGAATACTGGAATCACAAAACAAGAAAATAGCCGAAACGAAAGAACTAAAATACCACAATCACAACAGTAAAATATGAAAAACAAGATCAACAGGGAAAGGCGGCGTTCAATGAACGCAACCCCCATATGACCCAGCAACAAGAACCAACGGCAAGGAGCCCAGGCGGACCCCAAACATAAAAAGGACAGGGCAACGACACGTTAATCATTAAATGATAAATAATTTGTAACTGATTAGGAATTCAAAGAAAATAATAATAGGCCCACAAAGGGGAAAGGGACAGAAGACCGGGGGAAGGGGGGGGGGGGGTTAATCAAAGAAATAAAAACTAGAGGCAATGGGGAAGATACTTACCGTAGACGAGAAAACAACAAGGGACACAAGCAAAAGTAAGTCGTACATCGGGATTTTAAGTCTAAGTATAGAAAAGTTACACTTTATCACGAAAGTTGCCACTTTCTCACAATTTATTCTTTTATAAATAAACCTGCTTTTTGATAGAGCATGGACATTAAGTTTTTGGATGTTTAGTACCTCATGGATATAATTCCTTTTTTCAACAGAGTTCCAACTGTGTATCACTGGGTTTACCTAGCACCAATAGTTGCCGTCAGCCATTTCTTAGTTGTGAGCTTCTACGATTATTGGCCGCTTTTCGGAGCCAACCTACTTTACGGTATATCGTTTGGTATAACAGTGGCACAGGAACCAGCCATAATGTTTGAAGCTTCCGGTCTGGAGCGGTACCCAAAGGGGATAGCATTAATGAACCTTATGTACGGTTTGGGGAACTTTTTTGGTGGTCTAATAGGAGGTAAATTATACGCGCTTTTTCTTTCAGACTTTTATCCTTAAAAAAACACACAAAAAAACAACAAACAAAAAACTTTAAAAAAGATACTTGCCCGAAGTAAACCTTGTTAATACTTATATGTTAATGCTAAGATTTAGATCATATTTATTTAATTTGACAGAATAAACAATGAAGTATTTGATCTTAAAACAATGGATCACTATTAGATGTATGTATTCCTAAATGAATATGTCGTGTCTTAGTAAATGAGCTCAATTTCTAACAACAACATCTGCGCAGTCTACAGGCAATTATATCTATAAATCCTTGATTAATATGGATTAATATGCAGAAATATATTTGCAAATCAAAAATATTATACCAAATGAACACACCAGTCATCATATATAATACACTTTTTGGGCACTTATTAAACATCATAAATTTAGGATACCTGATTGGTGTGTTTTTGGATATGTTCATGTGTATAAAGTAAACTTAGTATTTATGCTGCTGACCGTTCCAAGGCGGCGCCCCTCTATGTTCCTCAGATGTATGTCTATGTTGTTTTATACTGTTATGGTGACACTTTTGTGTCTCTTGTTGTTTCTCGTCTACGGTAAGTATCTTCCCCTTTGCCCCTAGTTTTTATTTATTTTATTTATCCCCCCCCCCCCCCCTTCCCCGGGTCTCATGTCCCCTTCCCCTGTGCCTTTTGACTTTATTGGCCTAATATTCTATCATTTATTTGTTTTCTTTTAGTTCCTTATCAGTTACTAATTATTTATTCTTATGTAGTGATTCGCCTGCCCGTGCTCTGCCTTATGCCCTGTCCTGTTTTTGTTTGGGGTCCTCCTGGGCTCCTTGCCACTGGCGCTTGTTACTGGGTCGGGTGGGGCTGCGTTCATTGAACGCCGCCTTTTCTTGTCGATCTTGTTTATCATATTTTACAGGAACGTAAACGTTATTAGTGGTCTCGTTATTCTGGAAATAACTCAGAACGTTCTTGAATGTGAAAATTCACTTAGTAAAATCGTATCTAAAATAGAATGTTCACTAGAAAATGTAATGAGATCTAAACGCAGTAATGTTTTGTGGGAGGAATTATGGTTAATCAGAACTTAAATATTCTCAGGAATTTATGATAGAGCATTGCAAATGCATTACCTCAACTTTGACGAGTATTCAAATAGGCTAGAATCACTTGTCAACTGCATTGAAATTGAGGAGCCTGGGTTCAACGCCCTGAAGAGGCAATGTTTTTGTTATTTCTTTTTTTGTTTTTACCATTATTTATGTATCTCTCACATCCCTTATGGGAGGGCAAGTGTTTGATTTTAATTTAACATAATTATTGTAGGTATTTATATGCGAAATAATGCCAAATTTAATAGCAAATATAGCTTCTTTAGAGTACATAATTTCTTAAAAAAATACACCTTCGAACAGCAAAGTTTTAGTTCAAAAATATATCCATAACTCCTAAACCACACTGTAAATTCTATTTACATTTTGCTTACAGGTGACATTGAAGGCATATGCTATGTCCTATGTTGTCAATTTTACAGTGCCTTTTAGTGCCCATTAGCAATGGTCTACCTTAACTAGAAAGTTAAAGAACTATCCTGTACATTCCTTTACATTTTAGTTTGTATTGACAAGAACTATCCTTTACCTTTTATTTTAGAACTAGCTTTAAAATTATATTTCAGAATGACAAGAACTATCCTTTACATTTTATTTTAGAATGGCCAGAACTATACTTTACCTTTTAGTTAAGAATGGCAAATGAGATTCCCCGATTTCCGTTTGTAATTTTAAAATGACCAATGAAAAAATCCTGCGAACTTATTTTGTTTCTTTTTAATGTTTTCTTTCTTTTTCTTGTTATAAAGTTACCCGTTACAGCCATATAAGTACATTTTTTGTTGTTGACATTGTTTTTGTTTGTGCAATATTGTGATATCGTTATTTTTTTTTGCTTTGTGTATGTGAATATTGTGAAGTAACAACATAAATATAAGTATGTATTATTGTGTTTTGAAATTGTTTTACTTATTTTCAGGTGTAATAAAGGATGAGTTGGGAACATATGACATGTTGTTCTACATTGCCATCGGTGCAAGTTGCTATGTTTCCATAGCGACACTTGGAATTATTTTCTGTATGCGGAAAGCAGGAACACTTCATAGACATGTGCGTATAGATACAGATGTGGAAAATGTTACACTAATTCGTTATAGTGTTACAAAAGATGAAATGAACGAAGTGTCAAATCAGACAAAACCTTTGTTAAGTAAAAACGTTTCACAATAATTTTGTGACACAAATATATGTAGAAAAGTTATTTACCTTTTCTTAGGTTCATAACTAACTTAGTTTTCTTCTTTTTTATAATTCTAAAAATATACCTTATTTCCAATATTATTATAGTGATGTTCCATACTTTTTGATTACTAATATAATTTATCTGGATATTAAAAAGATGACACATTGTCAACATAGAAAGGTCGTGCTGTGATGGTCCATTTCTGATTTGTAGTTAATGCTGAATTCTACCTTTATATAACACCTGATAAAAAGTCAAATGAGGGTAATGAGCAAGAAACTTTTCGTCCGTCTAATTGCTCAGTACTAGTTGGTTTCAAAAGCCGGATAGAAGGGAGTGTTAGTAAACTCTGTATAAACTCAACGTGTTAATATCGAAAGGTATCTTGTTATGGACTACAGTTACACAGCATAGACAATTGAAACCACACATTCAATGGACGTAAGTATTTTATCTCAAAGATAATGTACCAATGTGCTTTTTATTAAATAGGTTTCATGATGATCTTGTTTTTCATATTTCATTATTAACTGATGCATTTACATGCTCCAACTTAACATATTCTTACATGCATAATTGTCACTTTACTGGATGCTTAGTTATAACATAGCTATGTCACTGTCTTACGTCGTGAATCTCTCTCTATTCATCAGGAAAATAACAAGACTAAGAATAAAAATCATAAATCTCCCCCAGTTATGTTCAAAATTAAATTATGTTTCGAAAGAAATGATTCAAACAAAATCTTTGAAACAAAATATGTGAAAACGATATACTTGACAATGCGGTCCAACCTGTAATACCCAGTTAAAAGAGTTTGACTTTTACAATCCATGTTCTATCTGACACAGTTTACAAATTAGTACATCACTAAATGTCTAATACATGCACACAAGTAAAGCAGGGTCAGTATCATTTAGTACATTCTGTATACATGGTATAGTATATTAAGTTATGTTTAATATTCTTGTCACGTGAACCTTTGTACTAACTGCGTTGTTCCGACTTTTTACACACTCAAGTGGCGTACATCAATTATAACTACGCCTTAGAAACACAGCTTAATCATTTTTGGACCTCGGTGTGAATTGCAGCAGCAAGTAAGTTGTTTTAATTGGTCGATTAAGTAACATATGGTGTATTGTACAAATAGGTACAACAAGATATGTTGTGTTAAAAGAGCATCATGAGTATACATAGTATCTTTTAGATAATGTTAAGGATCATTATCTCTTAAATAAGTAAGTCACAATATGTAACTAGTTCACATTTAAAAAAAAACACATTCTGTTAAAATATATCACTTTCTAGCACTTCACTGACACGATGTCTACAAAGCTTTCTATTGCAATTGTTCTAGATATATTTGATATAATCGGATTAGTCAATGCCCGTAAGGTCCTATGGTTTACCAGTTTAAATTTAGCTGACAAATGTCTATGAACTTTCAAACGTGATCTGATGATTCTTTTATCATTGTAACAAGGTCTATAAACGCTAGGAGGTTGTAGAGAAACAACATTCATTATAACATGACGAAGAACAGTGAATCAGAAATACTCCTGAACAAATACAGGTAAAGTCAATTAGTGACATCTTGACAACACTTTAGACTTTATAATTAAGTTGCCTGCTGAAAACTTATCTTGTTTTTCTTGTTGTTGTTTTTTTTCTTTACGTATTATTATTTAAATGCTTAATACACATAATATTCATTGTGTTGCGTCGCTCACGGCTTTAAACAAAGACAGAATCACCGACGTACGTAGTAAATTGTATAAATCAAAATTTCGTCTCTTTAACAAATGATATACATATGCTTTCAAAACATGCGGATAATTGTATTTTTATATGCCCGAAAAATTTTCTGGCATATTATGTTATACCCCCTGGCGTCCGTCCGTCCGTCCGTCTGTCTATCAATCCGTCCGTCTGTCCGTCCGTCCGTTAGCAATTTGGTTTCCGGAGCATAACTTAAGTTTCATTTGGCCCACAATATTCAAACTTCATAGGATGATTGTCCATGTTGGGTAGAAGACCCCTATTGATTTTGGGGTCACAAGGTCAAAGGTCAAGGTCACTATGACCTTTAAACTAAAAACAGTTTCCGAAGCATAACTTAAGTTCCATTTGGTCCACAGTGTTCAAACTATACAGGATGATTGTCCATATTGGGTAGAAGACCCCTATTGATTTTGGGGTCACAAGGTCAAAGGTCAAGGTCACTATTACTTTAAAACTGACCACAGTTTCTGGAGCATAATTTAAGGTCTATTTGGCCCACAATTTTCAAACTTCATAGGATGATTGTCCAAATTGGGTAGAACACCTCTATTGATTTTGGGATCACAAGGTCAAAGGTCACTATTACTTTAAAACTGAAAACAGTTTCCAGAACATAACTTAATTTCTATTTGGCCTAAAGTGTTCAAATTTCATAGGATGATTGTCCATATTGGGTAGAACACCCCTGTTGATTTTTGGGTCATAAGGTCAAAGGTCAAGGTTGCTATTACCTCAAAACTGAAAACAGTTTACAGAGCATAACTTAAGTTCCATTTGGCTACAATATTCAAACTTTATAGGAGGATTGCTATTTGAAGGAGGTAATTTATTTAATTTATGTAATATCTTACAAATGCTTCATCCTTACTAAAAAAACACTTTCGGGCATATAATGCTCCGCCTAGCGGTGCTCTTGTTTTATCAATTTATTGTCACCATTTAGAATATCAACATTTGCATCAAGGACGAGAAAGGCTGCTGTAATGACAGCTTGTATGGGACAGCTAGTTTTAACAAGCGGTATAGGATATGGTTTAAGTGTAATGTTTGCAGAATTGATCGTAGTCTTCGATGCTAAAAGAGCAGATGCTGCCTTGATTCAGAGCCTTAATATGGGACTTGCAACGTTAAGTGTTAAGTATTTACACACAAACCATCTATCAGTAGGTACATTGTTGGAATAATAAAATAATAAAATAAAATGTTTAGAAGATAAGAAAAACTTTTAACTTAAAATCATATCACTTTTGCTAAAATAATTCATTGCATGCTGAAAAAGCAGAACTTACAAGCCAACAGCGGTCTCTTATTTCTTTGCTCAGTATTTATATAAAAAATAATTTACAAACAACTACCTTGCTGACACACATGTACATATGTTCGTACAAAGGTTTACTAATAAAATAATACTGAACAAAGTGAAAGTTGTTACTTCCTGACGCTTAATAGTGTCTTACATGTATTTGTTTGCACGTTTAAATCAAATGTCAAATAAGCTGAACGGTTGTATTGAATTATATGTCGCTTTTTCCCTTACAGGTATACTCTTCTCTGGAATGATAACGAAATTAGGACCTGGCAAAAGTATTGTACTCGGGGGTATTGTTAGCAGTATTGGCTTATTTGGCAGTGCATTTGCTAAAAGTCTTGCACACATTATAATTTGTACTGGAGTTATAACAGGTAAACATGTTTGTAGAAACAAATGATCTTATTTTGTTAGCAAAATTACAAAACGAGAAAAAAAGATTCCCTAAAGAAAGCCCAACACGGCAAATTTGAAAATGTTGCAGGCTCGGTTTGACTGAGCCTGTTTATGGACGGTACTGTCGAGTGCAAACTACCGTCCACGCCCCCTAGCACCGGCTTAAGCAGAATTTAACATTTAACATTAACTGGTACAATTTTGAATTTTGAAACATCCGCAGATGGCGAATTGTTTATAAGCCTTTCGGATAAAAAAAATCGTATCTTTTATTTAGCTGCGATTCCTTAATATGTGTTTAACTTATGCTTTAAGAAGCAAACTCGAATAAATTTCTGAGAGTGTGCAATATAGTTTGTTTATTGCGACCTTAATTAACCACAAAATATGATAAACAAGATCAACAAGGAAAGGCGGCGTTCAATGAACGCAACCCCCATATGACCCAGCAACAAGAACCAGTGGCAAGAAGCCCAGGCGGACCCCAAACAAAAACAGGACAGGGCAAAGACCCTGTGTTAATACAATTAAAACCTTTTTGCTACAGGTTCAGCAATGTCCATTACATTTCTGTCAGCATTTATAACAACAAGCGCCATGTTTCCAGATGCCAGCCTTTATCTTATCATCCTAACAAGTGGACACAGCATCGGACAATTCGTTATCCCGTTGTTATACGAGCGTTTCATATCACAATATTCCTGGTCTGGTGCATTTATTCTTGTCTCTGGGGTTTCACTTTATTATGTTCCATTTGGACTTTTGATACATTGCTCAAGGGGTTTTCTTGACACTGCAGAAGAAGCAAACAAAACAAACTCCAATAAATGCTGTGATACAACATTGACAAAGGACATTGTTATCTGGATTCTGATGATGAACAGTTTTGTTTTATTTCTGACATGTAGGTAAAGGAAGTATGCTATGTGATTCGTCTGATGGTTACGAGTCTTAAAACGTTATTATGAAAATAACATTAAAACTATTATGTTTGTTTGCTTCTAACTGAAGAAGCACATACATTTATATATTTTTAAAACTAGCGTAATTTCTGTTATTTAATAAAAACAAGGAAGTTACCAGTATCAGATAAATATATACGCAAAAAACGAATCAACTGCTTAACCAGTCATGGCTACATAAATTGCATATTGATTCTCTAATAACTGTTTGATAAATTTATACTTATTTGTAAAACAATGATTTTAGTTAACGTAGAATCCTGGTTTATTGTGGATCATATGGTTTCTCGGGGGTTTACCCGTGAGTCTGGCTCTTTACTGGTATCTGTTCTAGGAATAGGAAGCTTTATTGGACGATTTGTTGGAGCATTGTTGCAATATAAAATAAGGTAAAAGTTACATAAAGTTCTGTCATAAGTTAATATGACGGTTGCAGGGTTCCACTTCTGTAACATCACATGCTAGGGCAATTTTAAGGTCTTTAAGTCATATTTTCATACACTTGAATGAAAACAATAACTGCTGGTTCATGTACATCGAAAGTACAAAAGAAATTGCACATTTACTGTAGAATTGCAACACTTTGTAGTTGTAATTAAATTATATTACAAATTAAGACCGTTTAGTCCTGTGTGTTATAAAGTCAACATCATCTACTGATTTTGCACAAAATGTTAACGCTGTATTTGTTCAGTACGAATGACTTTATATAAATTACTAAAGTTTTTGTTGATTGTAATTAGGTTATCATATACATTACATAAACATCAAATCAATAATTTGAACTGAACCTTGTATTTCCAGATGGCCGACCGTTTACCACTGGGTATATCTGTATATTTTCACTGCAAGCCTACATGGGATCATCATTAATTTAAATGAGTTTTGGGGCCTCGCTGTGTCATGTCTCTTATATGGTGTTCTCTTTGCTATTATCTCGTCACAACTTCCGGCCATTGTCTTCGAGGCATCCGGGCCCGACAGGTATCCATACACTATGGCAAGGATAAATATGATGTGTGGACTTGGTGATGTGTTTGGGCCTTTGTTAGGAGGTATGAATGATTACAAGGAGTTCTTCCTATTATTATATCATTTGGCAAATCAAGCATTAATAACTACACTATTTTTCTTTTAAATAATATTTTCGACAAACCTTTCCATGACTGATAATACAATGATCAATTAAAGTTCACTTACACTACATGTATTAGCAATGCTAGTGTTTTTTTTGTGTTTTTTTATTTGGGTTTTCGTCACATCGACACAGTTTAGGTCATATCGCGACGTTCCAGCTTTACTGGTGCAGGAAGACCTCAGGTGCCCTTCCGTGCACTATTTCAGGCACGAACGAGCACTTGAGTAGAACCACCGACGTTCCGTAAGCTAGCTGGATAGCTTCCTCACATGAAAGAATCCAATGTCCCTGTCGGGATTCGAACCCACAGCGGTGAGGGGCAAGTGGTTTGAAGTCAACGACCTTAACCATTCGGCCACGGACCCGCCCTCTCTGTTCACAGATTCAGAAAATGGTTGTTCATTTGATTTTACTAGATGGAATCTATTTCGTCTATATATTGCACCATCTTTTGTTCTAACATCATAAGATCTGTCATGAACTTTATGTATAACTTCTGCTGGTTACCAACATTTCCCTAGCCTAATTCTAACACTTCCAATTTCTAGAGGTTTGAGGGTTTTAGTTGACATGTCATTATAATATTTGACCTTTGTTTAGCATTAAACATGCTGTCTCTGATGACTTGTGTGTCAGGAACTTTGGGATCAAGTTGCTCTGACGTTAATGACAATGTTGACCTGAACTATCTGCTCATAAGCAGCTGTGCTTGTCAGGCACTTTGGGATCAAGTTGCTCTGACGTTAATGACAATGTTGACCTTAACTATCTGCTCATAAGCAGCTGTGCTGGAGATTTTCCAGAGGCTAATGGGGCATTGCGATATTCCAGCATCGCAAGATAAGGATCTTTTCCTGCTTGATTTGATTTTGATAACATATTTTTGATAGTTTTGACAATGGTTTCTGCCAAACCATCGCCCGATGAATGACCTGGGGATGATGTAACATGAGAAAAATCATACAAGTATTTAATATGAAACACCAGCGATTTGAACCATATGCTTATTGTACTTATTATAATACCCTTATTGTTTGTAGATGTACAAACAAATGCTATTGAAGGATGCAGAATGGATATCTTCTTATTCATTTTGAAATGTCAAGTATGATACGTGTCGCTTAAATGCATTAGCTATAGTTACCTCTAGACATATATGCAGATGATTGGAATCAAACTGTATAACAATTATTTCCTTTCCATGTGACAACAGAAACATCTTCAGCTAAAATGTGGGTTTGAGCAAGCTCGCTAATAATGTGTCTGCTATCGTTTTCTTAAAGCTAGCACAAATAAAATCATTATTCCCAGTATATGTCTATGTTGGACTACATCATATGCCTGATATATATTGAAAATTGATTTGCAGAAATTAAACTGAAATTCAAACAATGGGTAATATGCTTAATCTTTAATCAAACAGTAAATGGTTAAATAAATTGACAAACGATTACAATTTCAGGGTTTACGAAGGACATGTTTGGAGTATACGACGTTGTGTTTTATATCGCTGTCACTGGAAGCATTTTTATCAGCGCAACATCATTTATAATTGCTTGTATTTTAAGGAAAAGAAGTGAGCAATCCAGTTCGAGGAAAAGAGAAATCGAGGTCAAATAAAACAAGAAACATGGCAATGCCATGAAACCAGGTTTTCAATTATCACCATTGTAGATAAATATGTTGAAGTTGAAATACAAATACAAGCAACAAAGAATGTAACTATGTGCAACGTAAATCATGAATAATGTAGGAGGAATTGCACACAGAAGAATTGTTCACTATATATTCTGTTTAGGTGAAAGAAACAAAGGGCCATAATTAGGTAAAAAATTATCCAATCACAAAACCCCGACACTATAACCAGGGCACTTGATGAAAAGCTTCTGTGAAAGTTAGAACAAAATCCATTGAGAAATGTAGGAGTTGAGCATAGAAGAAATTGTTCATTATATATTCTGTATAAGGAAAAAAAACAAAGGGCCATAATTAGGTCAAATATTATTCAATCACAAAATCCCGACAATATGCGCCAGGGCACTTGATAACAAAGCTTCTGTGAAAGTTTGGTCAAAATACGTTGAGAAATGTAGGAGGAGTTGCGCACAGAAGAATTGTTCACTATATATTCTGTATAAGAAAAAAAAACAAAGGGCCATAATTAGGTCAAATATTATCCAATCACAAAACCCTGACATTATGTGCAAGGGCACTTAATTACAAAGCTTGTGTGAAAGTTTGGTCAAAATCCGTTGAGAAATGTAGGAGGAGTTGCGCAAAGAAGAAATTGTTCACTATATATTCTATATAAGGAAAAAAAACAAAGGGCCATAATTAGGTCAAATATTATCCAATCATAAAACCCCGACAATATGCGCCAGGGCACTTGATGACAAAGCTTCTGTGAAAGTTTCGTCAAAATCCATTGAGAAATGTAGGAGGAGTTGCGCACAGAAGAAATTGTTTACGCCCGCCCATCCGCCCGCCCGCCCGCCGACATACCTCAATCTAATAACCAGTTTTTTCCTTCGGAAAACCTGGTTAAAAATGAGAATAATTTAAAAAAAGATGATATGACCTTTGACTGCCAAATCAAGTTAAAATCATGTAAACAGGATTTTCAATGTTAATGTCACTGTGACCTTGACCTTGGAGCCAGCCATGCGGAACATGCGTTCTGCACGTCATCTTGATGTGGTAAACATTTGTCTGAAGTTTCATCAAAATTCTTCAAAGGGTTGAAGAGTTACAGAGCGGACAGGATTTTCAATGTTAATGTCACTGTGACCTTGACCTTGGAGCCAGCCATGCGGAACATGCGTTCTGCACGTCATCTTGATGTGGTAAACATTTGTCTGAAGTTTCATCAAAATTCTTCAAAGGGTTGAAGAGTTACAGAGCGGACACAATTTCGTTTGACGCCCGCCCGCCCATCCGCCCAGCCGCCCATCCGCCCATCCGCCCGCCATACCCCAATCTAATAACCAGGATTTTCAAAATTGAAAACCTGGTAAAAAATGTTACGTTATCATAACTGAACAGAGTCCTTGTCAAAAAGTACCCGTAATCAATGTGTATTAACATAGTTGCATATTCTGTGGCTGCTTGACATTTAATTTCTATCATCTCTTGTTAATGAAACAAATAAACTGCATCATCCAACATTATTCATGTTTGGTCTCTAAACGAAGAAGCCGGCATAAGGACTAATATATTTAAAAAGAAGTTGAGTGACCATAATGTGGGCCAACTCATGAAATTGAATGATGTTGACAGAAAAACAAAATTGGACAGTGACAGTCAACATTAACGCTGACATGTTATCTTTGTTTATTAAATAAATCTTGTTTCTAACTGTTTTAACCATAATTCATTGTAAGTAATAAAAATATGTATAAAATATTTTTTTTAAATATAACGTGATGAAAATAAAAATACATGAAATACTTAAACACCTGCAAACCACATCTCGGTTCGTTTAATAGTAATTTTAATCGACATTGTTACGCCTTAGCTATATATCTACAAATAACGAATCAGTAGAGTTACAAGCCTTGGAATGCCGGAAACATAAGTTATTTATTTACTTATTTAGATCTATTTTTAGATTACTGATTTAAGATTTCGTGATATTAATACGAATCAATTTGTACGACTATTTACATATGTAGCAATGACGTTCAATTAAACGTGTGTAAGAAACAATTATCAATCGTATGTAGATATCAATTTTCTGTAAATAAATGCTAATGACTTATGAACGTTTTAACAACCCACGTTATACGTTTTTAACTTCTGTACTCAAACTAAGCTGGAGAACAAGTAGCTCATACAATTTCGCATTTCTTACAAACAAAATGTACTACAAATTCATTTAAATAAAGTAGCGCGATTACCGCATACGTAATCTATACAAAAATTTTACAACTTCATACTGTTTTTGTTAAAAGGTTTAATTATAATGTATCAGCTTGTGTGGCCAACACATTAAGTAACACCATATATAAAAATGCAATAAAACATAAATTTCCATATCAGATTGCATTCCTTCTGTGGATTCAATAACACTTTTCGCTTTCTTTAAAATATATTAAGTAAAGTTTATTCAGATAGAATTCAAACATTAAACGAGCAATGTATTAATTTTATCAGTGTGAAAAAATGGTAAGTTTACCTTTATCGAAAACAATATCAAAACACAACTTATTTAATTATATGCCCGCTAACTTAGCTAAATAGAGAACGAACACTAACCTCAATCTTCGGGCGAGATTGAAATTCTCAGTGATGTTGGGTCTAATGTTCATTTCTCGTTTTGCAACGACTCAGAAATAAGGAGGATTTTGCACTGTCGGAGAAAAAGGTATTTACGGGCAAGAAACTCAGAAAAAAAGATATGGCAAACAATGTGATGAAATTTGCGTACAAAGAAACGCACAATCTTAAACATATACATTATTCATATAATGTATTTAGAGCCTGGTTTAAGAAAAAAAATGATTCCTTCATTTAGCCATAACATCACGTTGTACAAAACATTATGAAATCTTCCGCCTGATCATCTGCACAATCATATAATTTCTATGATAGCATGTTTATCTATGTGATGTTACAGCATTGAATGTCTTCATACAGTTACGTCTTTCTGTTGGCGATTAAAATTGTTCTTGAAAAGGTGAAAAAATACCAGGCTAAACCTATGATGTAGTTGAAAGTAAAATAAATAACCGATCTTCCTAGTCTGTTTTACAATTCTTTAATATAACATGTCATACAGGCTGTCCTTTAAAATAAATTAGAAAGTTAGCTATTGTTCAATAATGAAAATCACAAAATATCTATCAAATAAGAAGACAAAAATAATTTTACAAAACGGAAGTCGACTTTTTAAGTCTTTATTACGTCTTGAGAAACCCAAAAAACGAGCCTTAAATGTAATCTTTGTTTCAGAATAAATGATAATTTGGTATTTAAGATTTTATCATATAAACATTTTCAATATCTAGAATATTCAGTTCGAAACAAATAAGTTTAAGAAATAATTTGAGAAATGCTTTTTTTTTCCTGCAATAAGTTTATTCCGGACGACATTTGAATGTGTTCATGGTATTAAGCTACATTATCGCATGAACGCGTTCAGTTTGACGTATTTTTCTAAAGAATTATTAATTGTTTAGAAATAATCTTAATATAGAGCATGTTTCTAAAATATGCTTCAGTTGCAAATCTACACTTCAATCCGTTTGCGCCAAATGACATCATGTGCGTGCGTGAACAGTAGTTGATACTTTCCAAAGTCCAGCTGTGGCGTTTTCAAGAAAAAGACATGCATGTGATATATTTACATAATCTTGCATCGTTAAACAATGTTTTCTGTATTTTATTCATATTGTAGTGAATCAATTTGCTTCCTATGCTTGTAATGCAGCTAAGCCGTATTGGCAACATTTATTTTATTATGTGATGTAAATACAACTGACATGCTCAATTATAATTTAAAAAACAAAAACAAAAAAACATTGCCATAACATTCATGGACATAAATGTGTTAAATATTTGTAAGATTACATATTAAGGAAAACGGAATAACTACGGAGCCCCTAAGGTGATATTTTTACGCATTTTATTCCCGGGACTTAATTAGTTTTAACGAAATATTAATTTGTTTATACGAAATATTAATTCGAAACTACGAAATATTTATTCGTTTTTACGAATTTCGTTTTTACGAAATGATCATTCATTTGTACGAAATAATAATTTATAATAATTACGAAATACTAATTCGTTTGTACGAAATTCTTATTCGTTTGAAACGAAATCAAGTAATTGGTCTGACATAGAGTTTGAAAAAGAGGTCGTTAACTGGACCAAACTTGCCAACAAATATAAAGATTATAAGCCTAATGACTCTCAAGTTATGATATTTGAGCGAACAGGGTTTTTAAGAGGTAATTCTCAATCCAAAATATCCTCTTTTCCCCCTTTTCAGGAATATATTTTCAACAGCTGGCAAAAAAAAACATGTTTTAATGTTTGAGAAAATTAATTTTTTCTGACATGTTTCTTTTGAAAGTGTCACAGGCTATATTATTACTTTCTATTATCATACACATTAGTCAAACTTAAAGGGTCTGGATTACAGATTTTTATTAACATTTATGTATGGACACCGTGCACGATATTTTGCTTCAAGAATCAATAAAACAGAACATAGTCACAGGTATCGCGGTAGCATATATACAGAACTGGTATACCGTCGCGTTAGGAAGACTTATATTGTGTTTGCCTGACTTATCTTTAGTCAGATACTTAGTTTCAAAACCTTTTTTATAAATTTTATACGAGAACATTTTCTTTTTTTCTGTCATCTCGATGCCAACCCCTCTAAATCCCATCTGTCACATAATTTTCCAAAAATTTTAAACCAATGGCCTTTCCCAAAATAGCTAGAAAAAGCTCTGCATGCGTTTTGGAATCAATGCCATTATAACATTTACCTTTGACGACTGACAAAAAAATCAATAGGGGTTAAGCACTGGCCAGAGCCTCGCTTGGCCTCTTCCCTCACTAAATACAAATACAAATGTACAGTAAATGTCATTGGTATCAAGTAAGGG